AGTGGGAACAGTGGGGTGTTACTATTGTCAAGAGAATTCGGAAGAAGCGAAATATGTCTGGGGAAATACCTCAAGATGCTGGTTTGAATTCAAAAGAAGAAATGCGACGCTGTATGATCGAAATTCTCGATAAGCTATCAATGAAAATATCCACCCGTTTCACAAATTTGGAAAAGCTTAATGGCCGTTTTGGTTTTCTATATGATTTTGAACAAATTATAGAACTAACCAGAGACTCATACAATGACAAACTCGTCGAAATTAAGGTAGTCCTTTAAGAATATACTGTAAAATTTTTGGAGGGATATTCACATTATTTTAGCTTCTACAGCAGTTTTAGCGCGTTCTAGCGCGCGGTCAAAGGGCTCGATGAATCAATGATTTGTACGTAGTTATCTCAAAGCTACTTTTTTCGGCAATTTTAATATGGTTCTTATAAGATCAATATCTATAGCTGGGACTACGATCAAATTTTAATTTTAAGAACTTCGACTTTTTCCAATCTAAAACTGGTCCAAAAATAGCTTTTTTCGGAAAAAGCGCGAAATATTTTTTAATTTTTTTTTTTTTGGTTGTAATCCCAGCGATAGCTGGACACCTACTGATTCATAATTTATTTTGATTTTTATGTTACAGATGTTCAGAAGAGTAAAAATCAACAACGGCACCGAGAGTCATCTTTTAAAATAGCTTTCTTGGACGCCATTTTTAATATTTTGAAAAAAAAAATTTTATTTAACAAAAAAATATTTTTGTACTTTCCATAAGTGTATAAATAAACTGTAAAAAGTGTATATTGATTGCTCTTATTTTAAACTTAAAAAAAAAAATTCAGGAAACACCCTTAATTTGAGGGTTCTAGACCACCGGGACCCCTTAAATAAAAATGCCAGGAACTTGCCGAATCCTATCCAGATGACTTGGATAACGAAGATTTATACAGTGACATACAAGGACGTCTTGTCTTTATATACTTTTATTAAAGAGACCTAAGAAAAACGAAGAACAAATTGGGTTTTCGCCAGAAAAAGTTTTATTATACATTTCTTCGATGAGACTGGAAGCCTACAAGACGTTAGCGACAGCTTTAAGACTAGTCACTATACCTGTATCAGTTGCATCTTGTGAAAGATCTTTTAGCAAACTTAAATTTATGAAATCTTACTTAAGATCGACCGTGAGTCAGAGTAGACTGTCCAATCTTGCGATTCCCTCAATAGAATTTTAAACTGCTTCAACTTCAAATTACAATGACGTGATATGTAATTTTGGAGCGATCAAAACTAGAAAATTGCATTTTTAAGTTCTACCACTATTTTTAAACCTTGAGGAACATTTAAAACCTCCATGGAATAACTCTGCATGTTAATGATACTAGCCGTTGCTACCATTATAAGTGCATCATTAGTATTTTGGATATGAAATGGTAGCCAAGATCGTGAAAGCCGCCGCGGACGGCATTGATTTAGAAGAGGGGCAGTTAACACATTATTCTGCTGATCTGCCCAGTATAGTGTTCTTAGAACTCTTCTCCACGATAGCCAGTAAGTGCGGGAGTAGTCCGCGTCGGCATTTTCCCCATCACCTGGCAAACTCTTCGCCTCACCAACATCAGCGCGGTAGCAACGACTCACCTGTTGTCTAAACAACAGCAACAATAGCAGGTGCAGTAGCACCGGTAATGCCAAAATTGTTGCAAGTGTACGGAAATCAGGCAGGGCTTCTATTTTTAAGTTTTAGTTGTAATTCAGACTTTAACAACAGCACATAGTGCAGAGAATTAATTTATATACATACTAACCAAGGTTCGTAAGCAAAGCAAAAAGTACTGGCATGTAGCAAGTACATATGGCTTGGTCCTTTAAGATTTTATCAACACTTTTATCGACCAGAATCAATAAATATATAAACATATAACTACATATTTAGGTAATAATACAAACCTTACTTTATTATACATACATTTTAATAGGTTTTATGGAATTAGTCATGAAATAGGTCAATTGGCACATATTTATATTACCTATAAATTATATGCAGAGTGGTTTGGGCATTGTAAATACACGAATCTGTAAGCATTTCTAAACATTGAAATTAGCATAACTTTTCTCATTTAACACTGAAAATGCTCAATTCTGCAATTTTCGAGTCCCTGGTGTTAAATTTTTTGGTGAAATAAGTTAATAATTTTGTGTGATCAAAGACGACTATCCATACGAAAAGCGGAACGTTTCGTCAATCGGCACACCATGAACCTTTTCTATAAATCCACTCTACCTCTGAAGCAAATGGATCTGTTGCTGAACAAAGGAAAGGCGAAAAACAAGGCATCCTGGAAGTCAGCAAGTATCATTAGTGTTATTCCAATTTTTTTATCGATAAACAAAAATAGTACCCTTCACGTCTCTCATTATGTCAGAATCATTATAGCCTCCTCTGAAAGGCACAAATGAAAATTTGCGACTAGTTCGCTATTTATTATTGTTTGGATATCACATTTTTTGAACTGAATCAACCTGATTTAAAACGTTTTAGATAATTTTTTGCCTGTGATATAAAAAGATCGTTTATTTCTTGTTTACAAAGTCCTTAGAGATTTTAAGATGGCGATGGTATTACAATGTATCATAATCGTTTTTACTTTCTAAGAGTTCTATTTCTCGCTGTTTTTGTAATTCTTCACGATGTTTTAGTGTCACAGACCTAAATTCCATATATTCTGGTAAGATTTCGTCATCATCGTATTGATCTTCACCATTTAAGTAACGTTGCTCTTCATCGTCCTCCTCTGACGATGTTTCATAGACTGGGGCAATGGTTCCTAGTTGATTGCGCAATTCTTTGTTTTCCTCCTCCAATTTCATTGCTCGTTGTTTCCAGTAGTTGATTTTGAGCTCACATTGTCGGATCACAAGCGATTCATATATACCACGCCATAAAGAAGCAGCCTTGCTAACTGGATCAATAAATGGCTTGCCGTTTGCAGATGTTCCTTTGGAAAATTCTACGTTCCATTTTCTTTCTGATTCATTTTGAATTTTTGCATTTCTAGCGCGTCGTCTACTGCGTTGGCGCTTTCTAACCGATTTACTTTTCATTTGGAACATATACAAAAAAAAATGCGAAAACAAAAGTTCATTGACAGTTGGACATAACACAAATCAGCTGCCAACAGTGTAGTGAAAAAACACATCATTGTGAATTCACCAAAAAAGTACAGAGTGCTTCATCTTCTCTAAAAGAATTATGATATAAATGCAAGCGACAACAGGAATGTTGCCACGAATGCAGTCAATATCGAAGCAAATTTAATAGAAATCGTATATTTGCAACAAGCAAACAACAAAATTTTTATACTCTCGCAACAAAGTTGCTAAAGAGAGTATTATAGTTTTGTTCACATAACGGTTGTTTGTAAGTCCTAAAAGTAAAAGAATCAGATATAGGGTTATATATACCAAAGTGATCAGGGTGACGAGTAGAGTGGAAATCCGGATGTCTGTCTGTCCGTCTGTCCGTCCGTCCGTGCAAGCGGTAACTTGAATAAAAATGAGATATCATGATGAAACTTGGTACACGTATTTCTTGGCTCCAGAAGAAGGTTAAGTTCGAAGATGGGCAAAATCGGTCCACTACCACGCCCACAAAATGGCGAAAATCGAAATCCTATAAAGTGTCATAACTAAGCCATAAATAAAGATATTAAAGTGAAATTTGGCACAAAGGATGTCATTAGGGAGGGGCATATTTGGACGCAAGTTTTTTGCAAAAGTGGGCGTGGCCCCGCCCCCTACTAAGTTTTTTGTACATATCTCGGAAACTACTATAGCTATGGCAACCAAACTCTACAGAGTTGTTTCATTCAAGCATTTCCATATACAGTTCAAAAATGGAAGAAATCGGATAATAACCACGCCCACCTCCCATACAAAGGTTGAAAAACACTTAAAGTGCGTTAAACGACTAACAAAAAACGTCAGAAACACTAAATTTTTCGGAAGAAATATCAGAAAGAAGCTGCACCCAGGCTTTCTTTAAAAATTGAAAATGGGCGTGGCGTCGCCCACTTATGGACCAAAAACCATATCTCAGGAACTAGTCGACCGATTTCAATCAAATTCGGTACATAGTAGTTTCTTAACACCCTGATGACATGTACGAATATGGGTGAAATCGACTCACAACCACGCCTTCTTCCAATATAACGCTATTTTGAATTCCATCTGATGCCTTCTCTGTATAATATATATTAGGAACCAATGTTGATAGCGGAATAAAACTTTACACAAATACGGTATTTGATGCGAGAGTATAAAATGTTCGGTGACACCCGAACTTAGCCCTTCCTTACTTGTTTTTATCTGCAAGTGTCGTCTTGACGAAATCAAAGCTCTTTTATGCATGTTCTGGTAAAATAACGTTAGCTTATTACAGTTTTCAGAACTTTTTCATTTCACCGCAGGTGCCCTTTGTCGTTTGCAAAATTAAAAATGGTTATCATTTAGCGACAGCGAGAACTGCGATCATACTGTTGTGTAGTCGTGCTGTTTAAAGTTTTGTAAAATTTATTTATTTTTTTTTAACCTTTTCGTGGTTGAGTTGCTTAAAAAATATAAAAAAGCGACAATCGATTAATAACTATGCTGATCGCTATTCGTGTATTCAAGAGTTCTTTTTAATTTTGTGACCTGCTAGCTATCAGGTCTCAAATAGTGACTAGAGACTGCTTACAGAATCGCGCTGTAAATCCTCTCTCATTTTTAGCTCCGACACTCCTTTCATTGCTCCTCAAACATATAGTTTACAGTGCTATTGAAATTATTACCAACCAGCTGTTGTGTTTTATATGAAGTTAAAGAAAAGCCAAGTCAGTAAAGAAAAGTGAAAATTTGAGGAAGACGTAAATTGTTTATAAAATCAAAGATATTGAAGAGCGTTTTTATTTAATTTGAAGAACAAAGTACAAGCCTTCAATTCGTAAAAACCCATAATATTACATTATGATAAATTCTGTCCAATATAATAATAAGGAGGGCGTTCAACTGAGTTCGGAAGGATCTCCAACAACGCAATTCCCAACTAGCACGGTAAAAGTAATACTACTTTCCACTTTAATATTTTATTTAAATTGCCAACTTAAAAAAGATATTATATATGTAGAAATGTAAATAGAGATTCAAATATTTATAAATAACATTATTTTTTGTAGGTATTGTGCACACATGATGGAGTATTACTACGGAAAGGCAGTGTAGAACACATAGCTGATCTGAATACAAGTGGTTCACTATCGGTCATTAGTTATGATATACCGCGACGTCTATATATTGAATGGCGACCAAATGATAGCATCCTTGTTGCCGATGATAGTCAGGATTGGGCAGTAGTGGATACAATTCCTAGACGTTCGCGTACAATTTCCGAATGTAAAGCATTCAATATAAAGGCCACTCCAGAAACGATAGCATCTAACAAACCACGTTTGATACGCACCCTTCTTGATAATTTGAGTTCAATAATTGTGAAAGACCGTGGCCAAGTAATATGCTTTATTCAGAAAGTCGACAATAACGTGAATAGTGAATTCTTTTTCCAACACGGCAATGCTGATCAATTTTTAAAATCCATGTGCGATCAACACATAATTGAACACTCATGCAGTAAGTTGGATGGAAGTGCAGAGTATGCGGTACTCAATACGGAAACACAACAATTAAAACGTACATTTGCCGAATTAAACATCGAGGATCTAAAGAATACAGAATTAAAGAAAGATAAAGGATGGGTGAAGAATACGTGGACTGGTCTACTTGTAACTTTACCTGACATAGCGTCGGGTGTTAAGGGTAGTGTTCCTAGAAATTATGCCATGCGTAATAAACATATAGGTAACAATGATGAAATTCGTAGCTGTAACAGCAATGAGAGCCAGTCACCGGTAGAAGGTGAGCTTGAAAACGTGAAAGAAGAGGATGAGAAGATAGTCAATACATTGCCAGATCGTCCAATGGTTGAGAGAAGTAAGATTTTCTGCTTTTCCAATTTAATTTAATAATAATAACATAATAATTTAATAATTTTCCAGTTAAGCCGTTAAATGAAGCACAGTGGTTGGAGTTCCAGTCTGCAGATGGTAGCATTTCTGATGTTGCCGGAATAAAGAACCTTATTTTTCATGGTGGGATTCACTATAATTTACGCGCCGAAGTTTGGAAATATCTGCTCAACTATTACCAATGGGATGAGAGTGAAGTTGAACGCATACAACGATACAAACAAAAGTCTAAAGAATATTATACAATGAAAGCCCAATGGCTATCAATGACTGCTACACAAGAAGAGCACTTCAGCGGTTTTCGTGATCGCAAATGCCAAATCGAAAAGGACGTTAAACGTACCGACCGTACTCTGGAATTCTTCGCTGGTGAAGATAATCCAAACTTGATGGTACTACAAGGCATACTCATGACCTATGTAATGTACAACTTTGACTTGGGCTACGTCCAGGGTATGTCTGATCTGCTAGCACCCATACTCTCTATTCAGGTAAGATATACAAATGTATTTATCTACATTTTCAGTAATTACAAATATATAGATGAAACATTTTCCAGGGCAATGAAGTCGATGCATTTTGGTGTTTTGTCGGTTTTATGGATATGGTGTTTGCCAATTTTGACATGGATCAGGCTGCAATGAAAACACAATTTAACCAGTTACGTCGTTTAGTAGAATTTTGCAATCCACGTTTTTTTAAATATATGGTCATGCAAGATGCTGACAATATGTTCTTCTGCTTTCGCTGGCTACTTGTTTGGTATAAACGTGAATTCTCCAACGACGATGTGCTGAAACTGTGGGAGTGCCTTTGGACTGGACTACCATGTCCCAATTTCCATTTATTCATATCAGTGGCCATATTAGACCAACAAACCGATATAATTATCGAAAACAAATACCAGTTCAATGAGATTTTGAAGCACATCAACGAACTAACAAACCGCATAGATGTGAAGCGAACTTTGGAAATCGCTGAGGCAATTTATTTGCAAACCAAGGCGGTAGATGACCTGCCTAACGATATTCGTCAGATTATTGGAGAGCCGATTTCAGACTCCGAGAATGGCGAAGAACATTCTGGCACTGGCACTGATTTTGCCGATGAATTATATGAATTGGTACGCAAACCAAAAAACGAAAAGCGAATGGAAGAGCAATTCGAAGAGGCGTGTGAACGTTCCCTGTTTCTTAACTACACATAAACGTTGTGGTTCCTTAAACCACTATTATATATCAAGTTTAGTTGCTAAATATAATAACGACTCAGTGTTTTGTAAGCAAAACTACAGCAACGATCAGTTGACAATGAGTGCCCTATTTTACATTGTGTTATGAGTAATATTTTTTCAATTTTCTAAGGTAATTTGTTTTATTCGTGTAATCGATGTTATCAGCAAGTATAAACATGTATAGTGTTTTTTAAGTAACCCAACACGAAATTCCAATATTTTTGTAATATGCTATGTATTTATGAAACACTGACTACTTTATTGAAATGATTACATTCACTTTCTTGTGACCCTTTGCTCCCCGCAGAGCCATAGGTTGCAATATACCATTGTATATACATACAGATACCATGACTCATCATACGAAATGTCTTATTGTGATCAAAAAATTTTTTTATTGTATTTTCTTTGAATATCTACATGCATGTATGCTCTATTTTATTAAAAAAAGTCATATCAAATCCCTCATTGTATTAAAAACTAAATTATTAGACATTCCTGATGATTTGGACATCTGGCGATGAAGCTACATCAAGGACTAGGTTTATCGATGGTTTGGTGAACCAAATCGAGGTCGTAGATCAATCCAAAAAGAATTTCGTAGAGGTCTTCTAAAATCAGTTCTTGTTCCAGAAATTATTGATGCAGTTTGAGAACTGATATTGCAGATCATCATGTGACGCATCGGGGATTGAAACAACTATGGACTTTAGTGGGACTGGCATTAATATTGCATGAATATTTGATTGTAGCAATTTTTTAAGCGGTATTCCACATAATTTGTTGACCGCTCAAACAAACCTGGTATCGGTTGGCCGAGAGAAATGTTAAAAAATACGCTAACGGTGATTGGAAATATATCGTTGACAACGATGAGCTCAATCCAAAGCGAATGGTTGCATGTTTTTCCGAAAAACTGTACATATCGCAATAATACAACTAGAACGTACGAGAGCAATATATTTTTTTGCCAGAGATCTTTCAACAAATCATCTTCACCACGACAATACGAGCTCTCACACATGGACTGAAACAACTGCATTTTTGAGCACTTAAAACATCGATTTGATGAATAAACCACTATAAAGTCTCGACTTAACAACGAATGACTTATTTTTATTCCCGTACGAATAAAAAAACTAAGAAGTCAACGTTTTTCGACTGCGGAAGAGGCTGTTGTTATGTTCATAATACATGTTTTGGAGATACCTCAGTTAGAGTCTCAGAAGTGCTTCAAGAATTGGTGCAAACGCATTCAAAAAGGGGAGATGAGAAAATTTAAAAAAATAAAATGATTTTCGATGATTAATATTAGTATTTGTTTTCTAGTTCCGAAATAGAAAAGACAACCTACGTATGAATATGTTTTTTCCGATTGCATAAGATGATCCCTGCAACTCGAATTAATGCTGTCTTGCTCGCGAAAAATCTGGAGAACTTCCAGATAATTTTTTAGACATCTGTTGTACACTTAGGACTCAAACTTTCACGAGCTACAACAACAAATTCGAGCTATTCGATGGTTGTTTACAATATCACTGCTTATATCAAGGTGGAGGTTCAAGATTGCTTCCAAACGAATAGATGTCATATCAAGCAATAATCCTTATTTTCCTTATTGTAAAGATATATATACTATACAGTATGTATATATATACAGTATGTATGTATGTATATATATACAGAGTAAAGTCAGTCGAACGTTTCAGAATCGCGAATATCAGATATATGGGGATTAAGGAAAGTTGTCGGAAGCATTTAGTTATTGATTTATAGTGCTTTTAGTAGTCTTTAACGAAACAGTTATATTCAGAGAGAGCGCGGTTATGATTCGACTTCATCAATTTTCGCATTGTAGGTAGAAGCTGTTAAATAATTTGTTAATTTTGTTGTTGCAGCTTTAGTGGCTTAGGAGATACATATGTATGTACATTAAACTTTTGTAACGCGAATGGATGGGTGCAACCGACGATTTTATAATCTTGCAACTTACTAGAATCAGAGGAAATATTTTATGGTGTGTAACGTCAACCTGAGGATCGAAATCCAAGCAATTTTTTATATACATACATATACATACATATACTATATATAACTTCTATAATGACAGACACTAAAAAACGAAAACCATTATACTTATATGTAGTATATGATAGTTGAGGTGGTATCGACCAGATTTTATCTATTTTTCCCTATCCCATATACTATTACTTATTATTTATGTCACATACTAAAAAAACAATCATATAGAGTAAAGCCAGCTGGATGTTCGAAAATCCTGGTGTTAGTTGTATGGGGGGTAAGTCAAGTTTTCGCCAAAATTTATCTATTCGTACAAAGTTTAATCCAGATATATTAATTGTTTCTTGGTTTGTGTACAGGAAAGTAAAGGAACCAACTGGAATTCAAAATAGAGCTATATGGGAACTAGGCGTTGTTATAGTCCGACTTCGCTCATTTTCACAATGTGAAATAGAAATACCCCATACCGAAATTTGTCGAACCCGTTCAGTCGGGTCCCGAGATATGGGATTTCACTAAAAAGTAGGCGATGTTTTGGTATACCATCCCAGCTTCAAATGTTTACGTCTCTGGCGCATTTAGTTATTAATTTATCGCATTTTTAGTAGTTTTGAAGTATGTGGAATGAACAGGGTTTTCATCCGATTTCGACCATTTACACATTATCGGTAGGAGTTCTTGTAATATTTGTGCTTGGCGAATTTGGTTGTTGCAGCTTTAGTGGTTTACAAGATAAATACATTAAATTTATTAGAGGGCGGGGCACGCTCCTGGCTACTGCGATTTATATCTTAATTTAGTGTTTAGTTATGGGGCTTTATAGGTTTTCAGTTAAAAGCAATTTGTGGGCGTGACAGTTGTCCGATTACGATTACATCCACGACTTCGAACCTTTTTTTGTACTAAGAAACCTGCATACCAAGTTTCATCAAGATATCTCAGTTTTTACTCAAGTTTTAGGTATAATAGTCCGTAGCAAACTGGAGTATGAAAAGTACGTATCACGTTGTTTGTCCGCGATGGACTCCTAAACTACTGAACCGATTTTAGTAAAATTTAGTACACTGTGTCCAGTTCGAATCAACTTAGAAGATAGGATAGTAAAAACAATTCATAAACACGCATGTATTCACAATCCCAAAAAATAGAATACAGTTGAACTTCCATAACTCAAACTTATATATAATAGAATAGAATAGTATTATTTGAGGTAATACACCGCGACCTAGGGTCTATTGTGCCCTCTCCTATATCACATGAGGTGTGCTGGTGTTTCCTGTTCCAGGTCGCAGAACCGGCAGTTAGCACAGGATGGGCATGGTCTGGTTGGACAGGTGTTTCCTGAGCTTACAGTGTCCTGTGTAAATTGCGACGAGGAAACGGAATTTTTCGCGGTGGAGGTGAATTAGCTCTTTAAACCTGGAGAGATTGTACCCTCCTAGAAGCAGCTTACCGTGGCGCATACTTGTTGCAACAACATCTTGGACGTCTTGGACCAACATCTTGGACGCTGCCGCAGTGCGGGCCAGTTCTTCGGCCTTCTTACTACCTTCTGCCCTGGTACCCATATTAGGTGCACCCGGTTGCACAAGGATAGGCGGTTTAGCCTTTCGGTTTAGCATTTCTACGCATTCCTCGACTAAAAGTGATTTGGTCTCTTAAGATAAGATTGCTTTTAGTGCCGCTTGACTATCACTATCACTATAGCTATGCGATAGTTGCGGCTGGGGTTGACTTCAGCGCACTGGCAAATGGCAAAAACTTCAGCCGGGAAGATACTTGGGAAGCAGCCCATAGGTATGGAGAGCTTGGTACGCGATCCCGCAATACCTGAACCAATACCTTCCGGTGTTTTTGAGCCATCAGTGTCCCACTGAATGGTAATGTCTTCCACTACTGAGTTTTATTTTCTTTGGCTGTCCTTTGGGAGGAGGGCTAGCGGTGTGCTTTCCGCTAGTGCGTCCATCTGTCTAGATTACATTATCTTCCCTCTTCCACAGCCTTCTGCTGACATTAGCAGCATGGTGTGCTTTGCTGCTAGCTTGATCACCTGACGCAGCGGTGTGAGCTCTAGTATGACTTCCAAACTTATATAACTCGAAATTCTCCATAACTTGAACTCTTGAATTAGCAATAGAACTCAAATCGCATACAAATTTCCTGCCATAACTCGAAGTTCTTTTGTGAATTGTGGTGATTCGAGTTAAGAAAGTTCAACTGTAATTATAATTTTCAGTAAATGCCAAATCATGAGGACCTGGTTAGCATTCATCTATCAGTTAAGTTCTGGTAAACTTAACCAAGATTCCTTCTTTCGGCAAAGAACTTTTTTAATTAGAACTGGCAGATGATTTTAACCTTATTGAGAAAATAGCTTCGAATTCGTTTTTTCTTCCATTGACATTTATTTGTTTGAACATATTCAAAATTTTCCCTCAACTATAATCCCATGGATTCATATACCGACATAACCGTTTTCGCTTTATTCGTAAACTAGCTGACCCCGCAGCCGTTGCTCTGCGTGAAATTATGTGCTTTGAAATGAAAGGAAAGTTGTATTTATCATTTCAATGTAACGTTGCTTGATAGACCACATTTTTTGGTTTCTGTTTCGGTGTACAGAAAAAATGGTTTTCAAACTCGTGAGCACGCCACGTATATCTGACCTTGTGAAAAACATAGCACTTCCAAACTTGCCAAACCAAGTTGGGTCCTGTTGATCGTCACCTCAAATGCGATTTTCACTGGAAGCGGAATACGTTTGAACTGAAACGGCAATTCACTGGAACTCAAAGGAGTTCGTAGAATCAAGCATTTTGTCCACTTGTATTCGTTAGGTGCGTTATAATCAGTCGTATTCCATTACACAGTTTCGGTGCATGAAGATTGCGAAACATAATAACGACAGATCCAACTTTGAGACTCAAACGATGCGGTGGAATACCAAGCCTCTACAAAGAATTTAGATATTCCATTGGATAATTCACAGCGTCGTCTTTATTGTCAASACGATCGATCGATTTGTATGAATGCAAGTCTCCCGGAATTCGACTTTGAATCTTTCAGTTTAAGTCAATAACATCGGTATTTTTGGCAGCTAACATTGCGTGTGCACTTAAGGAATCGTAGTTACGATAGTTTGGCCAATGTTCGRATAAACATTCGTGATGAGTTTATCTTTCGTGAATTTATTATTATATATTGAGTGGACTAAAAAGCTTCTCCGTGCCTCWATACCTTTACATCATAATAGTAAGCTATTTCGAGGATAGAACTTTGAGCTACAATACAATCGAAGGCTCTGAAAAATATAAAGTCTCCTGTGGAGTACCCCAAGGATCTGTTCTTGGACCGCTACTATGGAACGTCATGTACGATGGAATACTGCGACTGAAAGTACCCAAAAACGTTCATATTCAGACGATATCGCTGTTGTGATTATAGCAAAACACATACACGATATAGTTTCGATAACCAATAGAACAATAGAGTTACTAAGCGATTTGCTCGAAACTAATAGACTGAACCTAGCGGAGACCAAGACCGAAGACTCATTACTGGCAGAAAAGTCCGTGAAGTTGCCACATTCAATACAAAGAGTGTAAGCATCACGACACAACCGGCAATTAAATACTTGGGAATTATACTTGATGCAAGGATGTCCTTTAAGGAACACTTAGCGTGCACAGGCGAAAAATCGAAACATATGGTCGAAGTATGCAGGGGTTCGCAATCGATGACCCAACACTCTGTTTTTTCACTTTTGCAAAATGTTTACAAAAAATTGTATCTGCATCCAATGAGGTGTGAGTAGGTGTATGTATAGAAAGTTAGTCAAAGTGACGCAGTAAATTATTACGATCCAGGCAATTGCATAACTTGCCTATATGGACTCCCAGGCTGGAGTGGTTTTTAGTGCTCATGTTAGGGAGATAGCGGCGACTCGATGTATTCATCGCAATAGTTTTCTGTATGAGATTTTACTGGTCCTGCACACCAAATCAACGTAAAACAAGATTGGTTTGATTACCGCTATGCAATATAGTATAGTATAGCTCGTATAGTGGATACGAGCATAACTGATAAGCCCCATTTTGTCTTTTTTCACCATTTCTTGTATAGTACAACACATATACTGATAGACACATGTTAGAAAAACGAAAATCATTATACATATGTAGTACTAGTCGAAACCAGCGGCTCCGTTCGCTCTTTGTTGTCAAGGATATCATTTA